ATATATATATATATTTTGTGAATTTTATTATTATGAGATAAGGTAGCTTGTTAATAAAACCGTCAGAACGTGTGAAGGATAAAATAAAATTACAGATGAAACAGGAATTAAAAAAAAATAATATATAAAATATGTTGAGAATTTAATCTTAAATATGTTGTAGTGACGCGGATTATTTCATTATACCTACGTTGTATGCTAATTTATTTTTGTGGATTTAGAATTTTCTTAACCAAAATCAATCTTAATTTTTTCTGTCATTTTTTAAATGTAAAATAAAGCATTATTTTTTTAAATTTGGTTTAAACGCTTTAAAATGGAAATTTCAATAGTAATTTTGTTTTTATGACCCCGTACACTTGAATTATACAAAAAACGCTTTATTTTTATGAGGCTTAAATTTTATGCAGTTACTTTTTTTTTGTTAACTAAAACATCTGAAATTTTAAATATTAGAGGAAAAATTTTAGACCTTATTGCAAAATTTATTTTAGTTTATTAAAAAATTCAATTTTGGAATTTATGGATTTATATAGAAATTTATATAATTAATTTAGTCTTATTTTTTGTCTTGAATTTTTGTCTTAAAATTTGTCTTACCCCCCAAAAAAAAAAAATATAAAAAAAAATATATGTCGAAATATATAAAAAATATAATTTAAATATATTAAAAATCTATAAAAAATATGTATAGTAAATATATTTTTAATAACTAACTTTTGGCCGATTTTTATATATTTTAGATATATTTAAGATATATCTTAAAATACATAAAAAATACATAGCTAAAAATATAAAAAAAATATATTTTGAATATATATATAAAACATATTTGAAATATATAAAATATATATGATAAGTTAGTTAATTAAAAATGTATTTACTATACATAATTTATATATTTTTTATAGATTTTTAATATATTTTTTATTTATTTCGACATACATTTTTTTTTATGGGGGTATTTTTTGTCTTGAATTTTAATCTATTAGTCACCTACCAAAGTGTGATATCGAAAATAAAAAGAGTATACGCAAAAAATAAAGGTTATTAAGTCTAGTTGTGAGATACTATGTCTGGCTTGTAGGTGTGCAAGAGAGAAAGAGAGAAAGTAGGTATAATTATTGAGAGATGCAAGCGTAAGTACGAGGAGTGGGGAAAGGGATTAGTGCCAGTTGAGGGTCAGTTGATTTAAGTGTGAAAGTTATTTCTGTATGAGCATTTGACAAACACGTGCCGTTTTCTTGTAAAACATTGTTTTTAATAAACTTACGATCATGTTAGACCCAACGTCATCACTTCTAGAATTATATAGGATTCAACCAGTTACAAAACTTTTAGTTTTATATTTTAGATATTTTGTTATTAGAAATATATATTTTAGGGTAATCGGAAAAAAAATTATTAAATTACGAAAAATTCTTAAAAATTATTATAAAATAAAAATTATGATAATAACAATAATTTAATAAATCTGAATTTTTCATAACTTTAAAATTTTTTCCAGGTCTATTTTTTCCGGAATTAATATTTTAGAAAAATAATATATTTTATTTTATTAGTTTTGAAATGTGAAAAACACATTTAAGGCACATTTGTGCAGCTATAATAAAAAAAGCTTGATTTTATGACCTTAGGTACTTGAGTTATACAAAGGACTCCTTATTTTACAATGTATGCAGTACAACCAAATATTACGGTCTTAGTTAAGAAGATAAACATGTGTTTTACTAAGCACAAGGAAAATATAGAGGGTTAGACCTCACAATAAAATAGTTTTAACATAATAGTTAGTCTGCGACTAAACTCTGTCAAGTAATAACACTTTTCTCGATATTATTTATTATCCATAACTTCCTAAATTTTTTGCGTCAAAATCTATTTTATTTTTTGTCTTGAATTTTAGTCTTATTTTTTGTCTTAAATCCCCATGAAAAATTTATAGATTCATGTAAAAACCGATAAGATACTAGGAATATATGGATTCATATAAAAATTTACATATAGATGTTCAAATATCAAATATTAGGATGTTCCAATGATAAAACTTAGCTAATCATAATCAAATTAATTAAATTATTTTTATTAACAGCGGACCCCGCTGTTAATTTTTGCATTAGAAATTTTTGTTGCGATAAATTATTACGGATTAATAATAACACATTAATGTCTAAGATATTGTAGAATTAATTTTGGCAAAAATTAATTATGAATTTTCAATCGAAAACATCCATGTAAGGTTGTATGGAAATTTACGTGATAAAGCATGTAATCAATGATTACTAATAATGTAATCATAAGATTTAATGTAGGAATGTATGAATTTATGTAGAAAAATCTACATATTAAGAAGGTATGGGTATATAGATTAGAATATGGAAGTTATGGGACTATTGAAGATCTTATAGGAAATTTATAGAGGAAACGACAAAAAACTAAATCTTTATTTTTATGCCGTTTTCTGTATAAACTCATACATTCTTACATCGAATCATATAGATGCTATATCAGCTATAGAATCTTATCTCAAGTGAATTCTTGCAGAATTTTATACAAACCTTATAAATTTTTTTTATAAGATATACTGAGTGCCTGAAGAATGTATCATCAATTAAAGATTTTGGAAAAAAAAAAATTTGTCAGAAGTGGGATTTGAACCCACGCCCTCATAGAGGACCAGAAGCCTCAGCCCCACCTGGTGGAGAAGGTTTGAACCTTGAGTCTGGCGCCTTAGACCGCTCGGCCATCCTGACATTAAAAATTTTGCTGCTAGATTACATTATTGAACTTACGGACAGCCTTTTTATGCTTTTTTGCGATTTTTGCATCCAAAATTTAGGTTTAAAATGATTTTGGCGGGAAATTTGATTCTCTAGAAGTTTCGTGTCCTTGAAGTTTTTTTTTAGCGTGCTTAGTTATAGAGATAATGGAAGTTTTTAGATTATTCTATGCTCTAGATTGTTAAATTGGGATCATGTATGTTTGAAATATTTTTCTGTAATTTAGATTGTTGAAAGATATAGAGCATTTTATAAATTAATGGTCGTAAAAAAAGATAAAATGTTTTATTGATAAGCCACCCTGGAGAAAATAAATCATAAAATAATAAATATTCAAAATAAACCGAGGATACGACCACCGGTGAGTGTAATTTATATATAAGGTGTGTTGTAACGATAAATATACTTGACGACGTGTGTTTGCTCGGAAATCGCACCTTCAACAACTTTAACACACTCAAAGCGGTTAAAGGGAGAGAAAACTTGCATGAGAAAAGTTGAACTATAACAAAATTATCATAAAAACAAGTGGTTAAATGTAATTTTATATATTATTATATTATATATATATATCGCGTGTATTTGTTTAATGCGACACGCGATGCGACCATTCACGTTGGACTACTCGGGTCTTATTCGTAATAACAGTCTCTGAAATAATTTTCTACTCGTTAATTTTTTAATGAAATTTTAAAATTATCTTGTAGTTTAATCATCTAGAAAATTAATTCTGGTAATTATTTGTAAAGGAAATGTTTTTATTAACTTTTTAATATAGAGATCTTTAGTAACTTTTTAATCTAAAGATTTTTCCTAGTAACTTTTGTTCTAGGGATTTTTCTAGTAACTTTTTCATCTAATGACTTTTCTAGTAACTTTTCAATCTAGGGCTTTTCCCGAAGTAACTTTTTAATCTAGTGACTTTTCTAGTAAATTTTTAATCTAGAGATTTTCCCCAGTAACTTTTGAATCTAGGGATTTTTACCTAGTGTCTTTTTATTTTAGGGATTTTTCTAGTAATTTTTAATCTAGTGACTTTTCTAGTAATTTGTAATTGAGTTACTTTTCTAGTAACTTTATAATCTAGGGATTTTTCTAGTAACTTTTAATCTAGTGACTTTTTAATAACTTTTAATCTAGGGACTTTTCTAGTAACTTTTTAATTTAGGGATTTTTCTAGTAACTTTTAATCTAGTGATTTTCTCTAGTAACTTTTTGTTGTAGGGATTTTTCTAGTAACTTTTTGGTCTAGTGATTTTTCTAGTAACTTTTAATCTAGGGATTTTCCCTAGTAAATTTTTATTCTAGGGACCCTTTTTAGTAACTTTTCAATCTATAGATTTTTCTAGCAACTTTTAATCCAGTGAATTTTCTAGTAACCTTTAATCTAGTGAATTTTATAGTAACTTTTTAATCTAGGGATTCTTTCTAGTAACTTTATAATCTAGTGATTTTTCCTAGTAACTTTTTAATATGGGTTTTTTTTTTAACTTTTTAATCTAAGGAATTTTTATAGTAACTTTAATCTAGGGAACTTTTTATAGTAATTTTCAAATTCTATGAAATTGAAATAACCTTCAAAAACTTACAACATTATCCTGTTTGGAAACATCAGCTCCATGCTTCAGCAGAAGCTCAACGACTTCAAGATGTCCTTCAGCGGCGGCTTTTTGCAAGGGAGTAACTCCAGTCTGTAAAATAAGGAATGAGAATAAAATAATGAAAAAACAGTGATCGACTTTTCCTACTTAATTAAAAGGGATTTATTTAGTTGCTGGGAACTGGGATAGCTATTAATTAGGGATTGTAGCTTCAATAAATAAGGAATTATTTGATAAAAGAAACCGAACTTAAGACATTTACGAGTGTAAATCTAGTTTTGTTTGTTGTTTGTTTATATAGTGGACACGTGGCCTTAAATGGTACTTGCGACAACGATTGTACTGACATCATTATCTGCGACGTTCCGTTGCAATTAAATGGTAAAGTAACAGTGAAGCAGTGTCTTAAATACTTTATTTGATAATTTTTTATAGAAAAGTTTTTAAACAATGATCAGATCTTAAGTAGTAACCATATCTTAAGCAATGATCATTTCTTAAGCAGTGATCAGACCCTAAAAATGATCAGATTTAAAACAATGATCACAATCTGAACAATGATTAAATCACATCCTGAACAATCATCACATTCTTAACAATGGAGTGTCCATTTATTGGCTTGAATTAGATTCACTAGTCATTTGTGACCAATAGGCTGAAAAATTGTAATTTATTCTAAACAATGTTGAGATTCTAAACAATGATCAGATTCTGAACAATGATCACTTCTCAAACATTGATCACATTCTGTACAATGACCACAACCTGAACAATGATCATAACCTGAACAATAATCATATCTTGAACAATGATCATATCCTGAATAATAATCATATCATGAATAATTATTACATCTTTAACAATGATCACATTCTGAACAATGATCACAACCTGAACAATGATCAGATTCTGAACAATGATCATATCTTAAACAATTATTAGATTCTAAACCATGATCACATTCTTAATAATGATCAGATGATCACATTCTGAACAATGTTCAGATTCTGAACAATGATCAGATTCTGAACAATGTTCAGATTCTGAACAATGATCATATTATGAACAATAATAAGATTTTGAACAATGATAACTTCTTGAATAATGGTCACATCCTGATCACACCTTGAACAATGATCAAATTTTGAACAATGTTCAGATTCTGAACAATGATCACAACCTGAAGAATGATCACAACCTGAAGAATGATCACAACCTGAACAATGATCACAACCTGAACAATGATCACATTTCAAGCAATGGTCACATCCTAAAAAATGATCATATTTTGAACAATAATCACAATCTGAACAATGATCATTTTCTGAACAATGATCACATATCTGGACTGACTAGACTTAAAATTTTTTTTCAACATCCATCAAATTTTAACATTAAGAAATCTATTGATTTTTCCAATACCATTAGAAAAATATTGTAAACACTTAATAAAAAACTTGTTTGAATTTCCACACCATTAATTCAAGTAGATATTTTAAAATTCAATTTACTAGACCCAGTCATCATAATACCATTAATAATATTACACATATAACCTTGGGAATCTCCGGCTTCTTTCCTCTTAAAATTCCGTATATTTTTTGCGACAATTTTAAATAACATTATTGTTATTATAATTATCACTCACTATTTAATTTGTCGCGGTCGTCGCGGAAAGTCCTTAGTCTTTAATAAGCTGCCATCATGGACAGATTAAAATTGCCAATTATAATTACTCTCACAATAATTATCGTTTCTAGTGTTACAATTTTTGCACGTAAGTTAATAATAATAATTTTAATTAATTGGGTATTTTAATATATTATTTTTAATTTTTAGAAAACGAGAGAAATTTTGACTGTACAAGTCCGACTGGACTTCAAGGACTTTGCATAAATATTGCAGATTGCCCGCCATTGGTGAGATTAATTAAAATGGTGCCACTTTATCAGAAGGATGTCGCTTATCTTCGTATGTCACAGTGCGGTAAAAGTTCTGATAATAAGCCGAAAGTTTGTTGTGTACCAGATGATTTTTAATAAAAATATTTTGTAATAAGAATTCTTATAATTATAAACTTTTACTTCAAACCCTGAAAATTCATCAGAGATTGGTTTTAACTTTGAAGATTTTTAATAAAGAAACTATTGAGACTAGAAAAAATATTTCAGACAAAAATTGTAGCTGTCTCTTCTTTAAGAAGAATTTTAGCCGGTGTAGAAATTTTAATTAGGAAAAAAGTTATGAGTGATTTAGTAATGAGCTAGAAGTTTGAATTAGTGACTCGTTATGAATTTTCAATAATTAATATCTTGGAATTTAGTGAGTTTGGAAGAAAATTTTGGGATAGAAATTGTAGATACTGGTGGCCTCTTTGCAAAAAAATTAGCCTGGTTCCTTAATTATAATTAGGAAAAAAGTTACGAATTTTTAAAATTCACTCTCGGAGCTGCAAATCACGCCCAAGTTCAAGGTCACTTACCTTCTAAATTAAATATTTCAGAAACTAATTGTCCGAACTGGGTACTATAAAAATAAAAATTGTACCTCTAAGTGTCCTCTTTGATGTAAAATTTGTCCGGTGAGGTAATTATAATTAGGATGAAAGTTATGGATTTTTTAAGTAACAAAACACGGTAAATTTAGGAAAAAAATCGGTTTTTCAACGTGGGGGCGCTGAAAACTTTACAAAAAACTGTCGAAATCGCAAAAAGTCATAGTGAGTTTTAAAGCTGAGACTTTAAAGATTCTAAAAATCCCGGCGAAGACATCAAAATACTTCAGCTAATTACTATAATCCTATTGCAAAATTTATTAAAGTTATTAAAATAGATTTTAATCAACTTTTTGCTCTGCAGATCATGATCCTCTCCATAATTACCTCTAATATGAAGTATCCTCCGCGTTCTCGCTCCGAAATCTCTGGGAGTCAATTAAATACAGCTTTTGCTGAAAAAAAGTGCCCACGTGCCTCTTAAGGAGTAGCCCACAATTAATTTACACCTAGCCAATAAATAACAACCTTTTTTACAGGATCTCTTATATTTCTCCTACTCTCCACTATCAATTGGACACGTGTAATTTGTCGTAATTACTAGAATCTCGATCCAATCTCCATCGTTATTTAGCTAAATAAATTCTAGGCTATCATCGTCCACTCACCTTCAATTATTCGGCTTATGATAGTAAATAATAATTACAATTAAATTCGCTACAAGCTTATCTGCCAAAAAATTATCTATATTATTAAGAGAATAACAAAATACTCTATCTCTAGATACATAATTAAAAAATGACCTTGTATCTTGTGAACTATTGACATTTTTAAAGATATAAGCTCATCCCGATGTTACACTCATCAAGACCTTTCATTTGAGTACCCACATCAATTTTTCATATATTATATATATTTATATATATTATATATATACGTATATATGAAAAACATATCGAAAATGCATGTGGGTACTCAAATGATAGCTCTTGATGAGTGTAACACCGGGATGAGCTTATACTTTAAAAACATATATTATATATATGTATATATAAAAAATATATAAAAAATGCATGTGGGTACTCAAATGAAAGCTCTTGATGAGTATAACATCGGGATGAGCTTATATCTTTAAAAAAGTTAATAGTTAAGAAAGTACCGTGCAATTTAATAAAATTCATTATTTAATTTTTTTTTTATTTTGTCCCATGGGCAGAAAAGTTTTTTCGACAAGACTGGTGGGTCCAAAAAATTTTTTTCAACTCAATAAATCACTATAAAAAATATAAGAATAAAAAAAAATATTTTTTTTTTATCTCAAGTGTCTGAAGAACTTGGAACTTGGAAGAATAAAATAAAAAGATTTGTTGAATTAACGGATTGACTTTCGACATCGATTGTACGAGACTGAAAACGCATACGTGCTCGGAACAATGATACCAGTTTGACTGGTAGCCTCCATCTTTGTCTGGCTAGTGTAGCGGTATTGTATAGTGTAGAGAGCTTGTAGCGAGTCTGTTAAAAGAGAAGAGTTTAAGAGCTGGGAGTCACAACAGTTCAGTAAACGATACGCATACAGACAACACAACCTTGCGTGGAATATAATACACTGCTGTGCAGTATACTCGTGAGTAAACAGCGGCGGGGAGGGGGTAGCGCGGAAGAGTGAAGGAGTGGGGAGAGCGGCAGAGCAGCTTTATACACATCGAGTATTTCCATGTGCGTTTTATGTTTCCTTGTACTAAGTATTATTATATCATGGCTTCTATGTAATTTTTCATACAAGTTTGAAAAGTTTATAAAGGTAGCCTAAACTTTGCCAAAGGATTAGAGTAATTAGCCAAAGTATTTTGATGTCTTCGCCGGGATTTTTAGAATCTTTAAAGTCTCAGCTTTAAAACCCACTATGATTTTTTCCGATTTTGACAGTTTTTCGTAAAGTTTTCAGCGCCCCCGCGTTGAAAAACCGATTTTTTTCGTAAATTTACCGTGTTTTGTTACTTAAAAAATCCATAACTTTCATCCTAATTATAATTACCTCACCAGACAAATTTTACATCAAAGAGGACACTTAGAGGTACAATTTTCATTTTTATAGTACCCAGTTCCGACAATTAGTTTCTGAGATATTTAATTTAGAAGGTAAGTGACCTTGAACTGGGGCGCGATTTGCAGCTCCAAGGGTGAATTTTAAAAATTCGTAACTTTTTTCCTAATTATAATTAAGGAACCGGGCTAATTTTGTTGCAAAGAGGCCACCAGTATCTAGAATTCTACTCCAAAAATTTTCTTCCAAACTCACTAAGTTCCAAGATATTAATTATTGAAAATTCATAACGAGTCACTAATTCAAACTTCTACATTACTAAATCACTCGTAACTTTTTTCCTAATTAAAATTTCTACACCGGCTAAAATTGTTCTTAAAGAAGAGAAAGCTACAATTTTTGTCCGAAACATTTTTTTCTAGTCTCAATAGTTTCTTTATTAAAAATCTTCAAATTTAAAAAGTTATCAACTTTTACCGAGTTATAAATAATAATTGCAACGAAGAAGTATTATATCTCTCGAACGGAAATGGGCGACAGGTGCTTGTGCAGATGTTTCCTCAATTATTCTCTTGGTTTTCGCAAAAAGCAATCTTCAGACCGTTAATACAGGATTTATCCTAATCAATAGATGAATTATTTTCTATTTTAACTCGTCAAGAAGTCAACAGTTGCCTTGATACTTAAAAATAATGATATTATTGATTTATAATTATATATATTATTTAAGTGGTTAATGGAAAACATTTTTATCGGATCAGCAAAGGCGTTGCCGCAAAAACTGGAACTTCTTTTTCAGACTCGTCTCTAAGACGAGGAACAACCTCAGTATGGAGAGTATAAATAACGAGGACAAGTATCACACGACAACTTTTAAAATGATAGACTAGTTTTTCAATTTAGTATCTCTTTTTTCACAAAATCCGTTCAATTCTTCGATTATTTTTATTTTTCTTCGAATTTATTTTTAATAATCCCACTTAATCTATTAATATATGCACGGAATGTAATGTTAATCCAGACAATGAGCATGAGTGTGTTTCTTTCCCATGAAATCGCCGGTTTATGGTGTCGGAATAAAATCCCCGACCGTGACCTTATATTTGCACTCCTACGCTCTAGCATTTAAATAAATAATAATAATAATAAAATAATTTTAATTGAGGGTGTGGAGAAAAATTACCGAAAGTGAAATGTGCAAAAAATTTAAAAAATTTAAAAAAAAAAAAAAAATAATGTGGACGACCGTGACAGGATTCGAACCTGCAATCTTCGGATCCGAAGTCCGACGCCTTATCCGTTAGGCCACACGGCCTTGTTGGGGTAAATGCTACCCTCTAGCTTGATAACTGCTAGACAGGGTTGCTATTGATTATTTTAGACTCTGTCTTTATATCTATATATACCTTTATGTGTATATGTGCGTATTTTTTAACGTGTGTTATTTAGCTTGTGTGTATGTGCGTGACTATGTGACTCGCTTATAACTTTTGAACGACTCAACTGATCGGAACGTACCAAACGGCGTTCTAAAGAGTTCCCTCAAACTTAGATTTTCTGAGAATTTCAACCGATTCGGACCGATAGATTTTGAGAAATTTTGAAATATCTCAAAAAAAATAAGAAAAAAATCATTTTTGAAAGTGGGTTTTTTTGGAATAACTTTTAAACGGCTCTATCGATCAACTTCAAAAACTAATCCGCCCTTAAGCTTGAAAAACCACGCCGATCGTTGCTAATCCGGTCAAAATCGGTTGATTCGTTCGAGAGATATCGTCAACGAAAGAAAACCGAAAAAAGTGTTTTTTTGGAATTACTTCAAATTTCCTAGTTTTATCAATTCAAACTTGAAGATTCTTCATGAAACTAAAAAAAATGCGTCAAATACTGCCAACTAAGGCTGTACAATTTAGCCGGTTAGGCCGGCTAAAAAAGTTAGCTAAGTTAATTAGCCAGTTAGTTGGCCAGCTTAGTTAATTTAACCGATTAGCCGAATTAGCTTAGCTAATTAGCCAACGGGTTAACCGGTTAACCTAGCTTAACTCAAAACTAATTAGCCAACTGCTAAATCGGTTAAATAGCTAAATTTTTATATGCTTTTTGTTGTATACTGAGGTAAGTATAAGTATTGAAATTAATGTAACCCTTGTTTTTTGAGAAGAAAATCATGAAGAACAGATAAAACGAGTTAAAAAAAAAAGTTCCGGAAAAATTCCTCAGAAAAGTTCCGATTATGGGACGATCCGGAACTTTTGCGGAACTTTGTTCGGAACTCTTTAGAAACAGTATTAAAAAAATTTACTTAAAAACGTTTTAAGTAACCAAAAATTTGAAATTCTTCAAATTTTTTAGGAACTTTTGCGGAACTTTTTTGGAACTCTTTGGAAACAACATTAAAAAAGTTTACTTACAAACTTTTGAGTAACCAAAAATTTCAAATTCTTAAAATTTATTAGAAACTTTTGCGGAACATTTTTGGAATCTTTTCGGAATATTTGCGGAACTTTTCAGGAATTTTTCCGGAACTTTTTTTCAATGTTTTTTGGACACTTTTTTAATACTCCTTCTAAAGAATTCCGGAAACGTTCCGGAAACTAAAATTATCTATCCGGAACATAAAAAATTAGCTATTTAACCGGTTTAGCAGTTGGCTAATTAGCTAAGTTAAGCTAGATTAACCGGTTAAGCCGTTGGCTAATTAGCTAAGCTGGCCAACTAACTGGCTAATTAACTTAGCTAACTTTTTTAGCCAGCCTCACCGGCCAAATTGTACAGCGCTACTGCCAACCGCGTGAAAATCGGTTGATTCATTGAAAAGTTAGTGCGGTTTGAAAATTTAAAAAATATTGTTCTATGATATACTTCTATCAGACTTTTGAGCTCGAAGAGCTCAAAATAACACATAAATTGTATTTTTGAGCTCGAAGAGCTCAAAAACATCATTAATGCAGTTTTACACACCTAGATATGGAATTAGCGGGAAGTTGCACGGATGGCCTTCAGGGTCTACCGTTTTTCTAATTTTTTTGTTTGTTTCTATGATTGTTTATTGCATTGTTCAATTATCATACTTTGTTCGATTATATGTAACTTTGTTCACATGTTTGTTTTTTTTTGTTCAAATTTCACACATTACATAAAAAAAGACATAATTTTGTCTTAAAAATCCAATAAATCTTTTTCTATAAATTCCCCCACCCCTCCACTCCATCAGACACCTTGAATAACTCAAATTTCAAGCCTCGTGCCTCAAACAAAAAAATCGCTATTTATAGCAATAAATATTCATATAAAATTACCATAAATAAATTAGTAGTTTTTTTTTATATTAATCATCGAGATTATAGAATCTCAATAAATTTAATCGCTCGATTATTTATTGACTCAAACTTTATTAATAATTACCCACAATCAATTAGCAGGATTATCATAGT